GTGTGTGTGTGTGTGTGTGTGTGTGTGTGTGTGTGTGTGTAATTTTGCATTTGTTTCCTGGTTCTTCATTCGCGCTGAAGTGACTAAAGTCAAATTCCTTCAGCTGGTCGTAAAATAAATGTGGTCGGCCCCTCCACCGCTTAGCTTATGAAATGTACGGTGGAGGGACAAAAAWGTTACAGAGTTTTTTACTCTGATATATAATCACAAACTACAGGATATACTGTACTGACTGGACAGAACATCAGTAGCTACCAGTAATATCTACACAGTTCAGCCTAGTAGTAGTAAAGGTAATTTTACTGTTGTCCATTATATTTACCTCTCACAATGTTATCCTAACATAATAACAATATTAATAAAAAATTTAGTAATTAGTAATTTAGTAGGAAGAGCAAATTTGTCTTTAATGACAGAAATGGGCTACTACTGTAAATACGTCAGCAAAAACCAAAAAGTTCCCAGACTGCTTATAGAATTATCTCTTGAGCAAATACATGTTTTCTTATATATCACAACATCGGCAATTTTCTCAGCTTTAATTTAAGCCACATGTTATAGAAATCGGATAAGAAATGAGTGTATTTTTGTGACAGATTGGCACACATCCCGCATTGAAACTCTACCGTTTTGTTGACATGACTCAATGCGTAGCAATGGCTCCTGTGAAGGCGCGTCGCTAGCTATAGCGACTATAGGTGATGTCCAGTCCAGTAATATAGATCAATGCCCAAAACGTTTGACCCAAGTCATACAATTTAAGGGCAATGGTACCAAATATTAATGAAGTGTATTTAAACTTTTGACTTTGAAGAAAATAATAAAAGTTGCCTTAAATTCTCCCTCTCCCTCATTATTCAAGAAAGGGTTCTCTGCAGTCACAAAGTAGGAGTTTCTTATTTTATAAGCGGAGTTGACCCAAGATTTTATGGGCGCAGCTGTCCCACGATGTGATTAGTCAGAGTGACGGTGGGGTTTGAAGAAGCTGCTGGGGGCAGCGGAAGTAGCTTGGTCGATGTGAGCAGGAAGCTCCTATGTTTTTAACATTAATTTTAGTTATAACTTGAAATATGAATGCTGTACATATGGAGGGATGAAAAAATTTGGTTCAAAACATCCCTAACCAGCCCATAAAAAGATCACTAAAAATCAATTTGAATAGATATAAATATGAATATTAGTCATAACTTGAGAAAGGAAGGTGCAAGCTGCACAAAGTTTGAAAGCCTTACATGTGAAGGGATGTGTAAC